AACCCCAATAACACAACTCACATTTGGTTTGGAATCCATATGCAAATTACTTCTGTTATGTTTTCATATTTCCTGAAAATCGGGGTATCATCTTTAATTTTGTTCCGATGGGAAATCTTTTTGAACCATTATATGTTGTTGTATGAATATTTTCATAAGATTCATTTTCTTCACCTCTGTTTTGGCAGTCGAGGGGGGATCGTAACAATAATAGTAACTGGAATGGTGGTTACTATGGAAGGCAAGGGTACAATGGGTATTATGGATACGCTCACGGGCCGTCCTCAAATGGCCATGGGACCCAACATCAACCCGTCAGCTAAAAACCCTAAGATACGTGCTCTGTGTATTTTACTCGAGCTTTTTAAACATCAGAGGTACTGTATCAAAAACCCAGAATCTGGGGAAAAAAGGAATTTTGTAGCTGGATCAAAATCTCACCGGAGAGGAAACCTTTTTTTTTTTTTTGAACTTTAAACTTATGTTTGAGAATTTAACTTACTAAACAGCTTGTGATATGATATGATGGTTTGTGTTTTTCTTATTACATACTTTCGTTTTGATGCCTCACTGTGTTAAAACTTAAAATAGACATAGTTGGATGTAAAATATTTGCAGGAATCCCCCCTATATATGAAATTGTCGGATGCGTTGAGTTTAAGTGGCAGACTCATAGGCGTCGGAATCTTATGTGGCAAAAAACTATGTTTCGTAGCTAGACTTGGATATTAATTAGTATTTTTAATAAAATAATAATTAGGTTTGGATTGCATTAAATATCTATATTATTCACATTAATTCTTTGATTGATCTCTTCCTTCTTTCTTTTCTTAAATAATTAATTGCCATAAACTATTTTTCATTTTCTTTTCTTACATTACCATACAATTATTGTAAATGTGTCTTCTTCGTATTTTTAAAATTTTATAACCTTTTTGTTTGTATTTTGTTTGTATTTTGTTTTTTTTTTTTTATATATATGGTACATTAAATTAATTATCTTTTAAAGATATTTGATTTGACATCCATTATACATATATAAAAATGCAAAACAATGATATATATTCTTATAAATAAATTTTAAATTGATTTATTAAACTAAATTAAAAAATATCAAAAATAAAAACTACAAATTATATTGAAGCAATAGAAATTGATTTATATTAATATATCATAAAATATTTATTTTAATTGAAAAGAATATATAAACTAAGTATGAACATAAAATAAATATAAATTTTTTTTAAAAAATTTATGTCTCAACTTAAATAAAGACTACAAGGAGATTGAACATTATAATAATATTAAAAATTAAAAAAATGTTAATTGTAATAAAAAATTATAAAAATAACTATTATATTTCCTAAAGTTTAAAAATATTGCACCCATACACATTACATTTTAAGTTATTTAATATTATAAAGTTGAAAATATTTAAAAATATAATAGATGATGAAAGAAAATTGTGCATATAAAATACTAATCAAACTTGGAAAAAATTTAAATAATTAAAAATAAAATTATTAAATTGTAGATAATATATATGTGTGTGTGTGCGCGCGCGCGTTATATTAAAAAAGTATCATTTTAACAAATTGAGTCTAAAATATAGGTATTATTTTAAATAATTAACTTTGTTATTTTCTTAATTATTAATTTTATACTTAATTTTTTTACATTATATTATAAGAATATAAAGTGCTTTACTTATTTCTTTTGATATAAATATTTTGTTTTATTTTAATGCACCATTGTTGTACACGGACGTTATATTAACTGTAAAATAAATTAATTATTCTATTTAATTTTTTAAAAAATAAATATATCTTAAATAAAATAAATAATATTTCATACAAAATATTTACTTAAATTTAAAATAATATTACAAATTCTTTTACTTTGTCATTAATATTTTTATTTAAAAATAATTTTTTTTTTTTTTTATTATTTGTTGTACAATATATTTTTTCCTCAAACACCCGTGTAGTTCACGTGCGTTGTACTAGTGTAGTATTATTTCAAGAAGCCACGTCAGATTTTAAGCAATTATAAGTGTTGGGACCCCAAATTATACCGTCTTTAGATTAGCTGATTCAATAAGGCTCCAAGAAAGCGACTTGAATCAAACATTTTTAGGTTAGTAGCTATGTCAATTGCTTTATTCTTTCACATGTTGTAGAAGTAGCATTTGTACTTTGAGAACCTGCCCTTTTCTTTTAGGACTCACCCTATAAAATGCCAATTATTATTAATCACACCAGCAAGCTTTCAGTTTGTAGCTAAATGACAGTGAGATTGAGAAAAATCTGTAGAAGAATGAAAGAAAATAATGGGCTGTTTGGGTAGTTGTGAGAGGAGTGAAATGAATAGCATTTGTGCTTGGGATTATATTTTCTGTTCCACTTTAATGTTCATTTGGTGTTTCATTCTGTTGGATGATTGACACGTATACAAATAATATTTTAGCTTCTATATTGTAGCCTACCTCAACTTACTTGGGACTCAAATGATATGATGATGATATATCTTTAGCTTCTTATATTATAGTTTAGGACTTGTATGATTAAATTTAAATTGAACAATCTTTATATTGTTATTCCAATATATATGATATAAATATAATCACATTATATAAATATTACCGACCAATTTTAACTTTAAATAACCATCTCATAGATTTCAATTTTGAGAGGTTTTATCTTGTATATCATTTCACAAATAAAGTAATATAGCTCACATGTAGTCATTTGATTATGTTTTTCATTGTTTTTACTTTTGATGACGTTTTTAGTATCTTTAATTTAACTTATATATAACCTTTTCTGTACAAAAATACAAATATCAACGATTGTAATTGCAATAAGTAGATAAGCTGGACTTTTTATTTCCCGAATTTATTTTGTTCCACGAACAATTTATTCAAGATTCCTAATCTTTATTTTTAGGGCCATTTACATAACAACATAACTTTTGCTATTTTATTGTGAATGTATTATTAGGATATATACGAATCTTTAGCATTTTAATTAGCATCACACCCAATCTTAAAAACCTCACCAAATAAAAACGCTCCCACCTTTAATTCCGCCAGTTACGGGATCTCCAACAAAACAATATTAATAAGGCAAAATTGAAGCCACAAATTTTCTGTTATGTCAAGATACCACTTTCCACACTCCATCTTCCGTAACGAGTCTTATTTGTGGTTTATCACCAAATTGAAAGCAACTTTCCACACTCCCTTCCGTTATGTATCCTTTTTTTTTTTTATTACAGGTATATATTTTTGATATTTTTGCGGATGGAATCGCCTATAATGNTAAAGGTATATATTTTTGATATTTTTGTGGATGGAATCGCCTATAATGATTTTCATTCATTATATGATGAATGTACTATGTATATAAACTATACATATACACAACAAAAAAAATTCAATTTTTTCTTATTTTAAATCAATTTTTGAATATTTTGTAGTATATTTTGGGTTTGCGTATTGTTTATTTTACTATTATACTTTATAAACAATTTTACTAAAAGATAAAAGTATATATATAGTTTATATACAAATTGTAACAAGTTATTTATTGTAAAAAACATCAAAAGAAATGCATACTATAAATTATACATATATCGCCTATACACATAACATATACTGAACAAATAGTGTCTACTGCATATACACATAACATATACTGAACATACACGCAACATATACTGTCTGCCTATTTACGCAATATATACTGTCGTGAACATATACTGCCTATACACGTAACATATACTACCATAAACGAAGCAGGCCTACTTTGACGACGTTCAGCTTGTGCACAGTATTTGGATGTGGACCCGAACTATGTCCACCTCTTCTTCGCGGTGCCATCATCAACAGATACAAAACACCAATCCGGTGGTGATCCTGTCATGTACGAGTATAGCCCAAAGAAATTTATCACTATAAAGTTTTGTGCTATAATGTAAATAAGTTTATCACAATCTTTCAGGATAATACACAGATACGCAATAGAGATACAAGCACATTCCACAAAATCATCTGAACCTCTGAAACCTTCAAAATCCAAAGGCAAAACACTAAATACTCTCAGGCACACCATTCTAGCACAATTATACTTTCTAAATCGAGTCACTTCTTTAGATGAGGATTTAGTGTTTTGAGGAGTTGAGGGGACTGGAGAGGCCCACGATAAAAAATGAGTAGTGGATTATGAACGGAAACGTGGCCGAAAATTGGTTCTTAACAGATCCGTAGACGGAGGCGAAGCGGCGAAGGGGTGGTGGGAGAAGGAGAACAGCGGCAAGAAGAAGATGAGAGAGAGAAAGGGAGAGAGAGAAAAAGAATAGAAAGGGGAGATATTGTAATTATAGCTCTCATTAAATCTCTTATACCATAATTAAAAACAATTATCTGTTACTCAATAATCTAGTATGTTTGCAAATAAATATGATAGTTTTAGTTAATTTGTAAATAAATATATATGGGTTATAAATATGTAATAAAGATGTTAATGTGTAGTGGGGTAGGTAATTTACTCATTGCATACATTCTTGGATAAGCCTAAGGAAATTGTTGTGGTAGTAGTTTTGGGCCACCTGGGCTATGCCCTCTGCTTATTGGGCTGTACTTGATAAAGGGCTTCTTGTGCACAAAACTTTGGCTTCTCATTGGGGCTGTGGGCCCGTGAACCATGAATTGCATTTCTTTGATGGAGATTTCCTTTGAAACGCGCATCATTCATTACAATTGCATCCCTACAAACATTAATAATTTCAATATAAAAAATTAATAATTTCAATAAATTAGTATCAAATTATTTAATGAAATATTAATATATATCAAAGTATACATTGAAATATTTATGCACGCAGATGGGTTTCCTACAAGTCTAAAACACAAGCATGCTCTATTTGTTATATTCATTACTCATTTAACATAATTCAAGCATCAAAAAAGTATAGTCACGTCCCAATAAAAATTCTAACGTACGAAAAAAACATTCTTACAATTATTTTAATATTATAATATTTTAATCAAAATTTACATCACAATAAACAAAGCAAAACTAATATTTTTATGAACTATGTAGGAATTTTAAAATTTTGTTGAAAATTGTGTTGGAGTTTTAACATTTTCCCAAATCCTTAGAAAATCCCTAGTGTTAGGTCTTAGATACCAAGTAGGCAATGACCAATCAATAAGGATCTGGGACTCACCATGGATCCTAAATGCTGCTCACTTTAAATTTATCTGTTGTTTTGAGAATGGTAAAGCCAGGTTGCACAGGGTCTCTGATCTCATGACTGCAGGAGGCCAAAGCTGGGACACATAGCTCATATTGCAAACATTTACAATATTTTGAAAATCCATATTAGCCACTGGGATAGCAGGGATAAACCCTAAAGGCATGTTCAGTGTTAGAGCAACCTATACAACCATTCAGAAGAAGAGGAGGGCATCAGAACAGGTTGCAGAATCCAGCCATAGAACTAGCACAAATCCTAGACTGTGGCAGAAGCTTTGGAAGCTACAAATTAGGCCAAAAGTTTAGAAATTTTATCTGGAGATGTCTGCACAACTGGGTGGGTACAAAAGTCAGATTGCAGCAGATGAAGGTGATTGAGGACCCTATTTGTTCTTGGTGTGGGACTGAGCCTGAGGATTTGGAGCACTTGTTCTTTAAGTGTGAGAGAGCACAGAAGGTGTGGAAGATTGCAGGACTCCACTGGGATAGCTTTTTGAAGCCTAATCTTAATTTTCTTCACTGCTGGCAGGATCTATGCTGTCTCAAGAGCAGTGACTATAATAGAGACAAAATTTCTCTTCACCTATCTCTTATGGTGGCTGTGGAGAACACGTAATGCATGGATCTTTCAAAAGGAGATCACCACAGAACTGCAACTGATAGAGAAATACAAACATATTGGACCGTGATTTGTTGGTTGTAAGACCATATTGAAGATACGAACAATCACATCTTCCATGATTCGAGCAAATCGTTTATTTTGTTGAGTCTTCACATTCATCAAATTCGATGAAATTGGAAGATTAGTAACTAGAACTTGAAAATTTTGAATTTTCAGATGGGTTTGCACTTGATGACATTTGTGAACAAGAATGATGTGTCTTATGAAAAATAAAGTTATAATTGATGTTGTAGAAAATTATATATTTGTCGAGTACGGGATGAGTCCCTACCTCGGGTCGATCTCTCGAGGAAGGCGGTTCGAAATCTAGATTCGATGTTGCTCGCACACAAAAGCAAAATAAGTCCTAAACACTCTAATCATGATTGATTTGGAGAATTAACTAAAACTAATTAGAACTAGAAAAGCAAATAAAAGAAATAACAATTAACTTGCTAGAGAATTAGAAGAAGTTCTAAGGGTTAGGAAATTTCATCAAGTCCTAAACTATGTTGAAAGCATATTTGTTCGGTTACGTGATTCCGTAAACCAACACGTCTAGAGGTTTATGCTCAATAACTATTCGTAACAAAAGCACACACATAAACGACAAACTCATTCAATCAAGCAACACATAGACAATACTTTTACGAACAAGTCTACTCTTATAGAGCCAAGGTCGAACAATAGATTAATAGAAAACATTCACCTCATACGAGCCTAGGTTCAACACTCCTCCCCTTTCGGTTCCAAAAGTCGTTAGCCTAGCAGGTACAACTAATCCCTAATAATCGAGCAACTCGCATAGAGTGAACAAAACACACTCAACAAAATTCAAACAAAAATCAAAATCCCTAACCCTAGGTGAATATATTACCTCATTCTTAGATTCAATTTCATGTTAATCAGATTGAAGAACATAAACCCAATCAACAATAATAAAATAGAATTGAAAACTTACAATCGGATTAGGACTTGCAAGAGCTCAATTCAGTCTTTGTTTCCAACAATCCAAGCATGAAAGAAGAAGAAAAGTGGAGAAAATTATCCTAAGAAACTATTTACAAATCGATTCTTGGAGTGTCCCCCTCCAAGATCAAACTCAATAGTAAAAACTAGAGAAAAAAACATGTTTGGACAAGAGAAAAACTGATAAGAAACGAGTTTGGGTGATGCCCTTTAGGATTGGGGACGACCCCCAAATGAAAGTCCTCCAAAAATCGAGTAATCAACTTCAATAGTTTTGGCACTACCTAAAACTATATCTGTGTGCTCTGTGTATTCGACTCGAGCTTTTTATATATCAGAGGTGCTATATCAAAAACCCAGAATCTGGTTTGAGACTCTTACTAAACAGCCTGTGATATGATGGTTTATGTTTTACTTTCTTTTTTATGCCTCACTGTGTTAAAGTCAACATCTTTAGATGTAGCCACGTCGGATTTTAGGCAATTTTAAGTGTTGGGACCCCAAATTATACATCTTTAGATTAGCTGATTCAATAAGGTTCCAAGAAAATGTCAATTGCTTTGTTTTTTCAATGCATCTTAACATCTTTAAGGCTCCATTGGATATATCATTTTCTGTCCAAGAAGACAAATATCAACTATTATAATTGCAATAAGTAGATAATCGGTCGGTTAAGCTACACATTATTTCCGAATTTATTTTGTTCCATGATCAATTTATTTCAAGATTCGTGTTGTTGATATATTACTTGTGATATATCCCACATTGATTTAATAGGGTCTAGTTTATAAGCCTAGGTCTACTCTTCCCATAACTAATTGATTTTGGAATGAAACTTCACTAAGGTGCAACCTAACTCACCCTCTTATAGTGCGCTTCACTGTGTGGGACCGCATCCATGATGCCCCGATTATATACTTATGTGACAATTCGTAATCTTTATTTATATCAATACTTAATATTTTTTTGTATGTGAATAGTCAACATACAAATTTAAAAAAAAAATTATATTTTTTAATATTTCGTAACCATACAACAGTTGCATTCTTCAAATATAGAGAAATAAAAAATGGATATCGCATGCAACCGTTATAAATCCAAAATATAGTAAAAAATAGGTGGATGATTGTATGGAATAAACTAAAAGAAAAAAAAAATATGTTGTAACGGTTTTTAGATGGAGGTAATAAATTTTTTTATTAAATGCAACCTATTTTTATTAAATGAGCTCATATTATTATTAATTGAAGACTGAATAAAATTACATGAAGCTTGCCAACAATTATATATATATATATATATATATATATAGATGATTTAGGCAAAATAAAAAACCATGCCTAGAGCAGATGCAACTAACTACAAACAAAAAAGACCAACGTCGGGTAGAGATCATTTTCCGGGATTGTAAAGGCAAATGAAATTATTTCTGCACACAAACCAAAATCAAAAGCTCACTCTTGGAAAGAAGCTCGAAAATCTACCACCAGTAGTCGAAAATTATGTTGTCGGTCTTTAAAGCAAAGCATCATCATCTGAGCCCACGAGCAAGACCTGCTCGTTTCATAGTCCTTTTAGAAATGCTTTAACGAAAATGCAAACAAGGTTCACAATTTTTAAATATATTGTGTGTAACTATATCTGGTAGGCTTCAATGCTACTCTAAAAGTACACTTCTCGAGTTTCAGATGCATCTTGAATCTACTTACATTGGAGTCAGAAGCATATTTTCTGGCGAGGATGAGTGCCCCATTTCTTTCTTGCTCTGACTAGAAAACGAGCACAAATGACTGCCCGTTTTGTGACTGCCAAAACAGTTGCCAAATTGCCGCCTCCTCTGAATCCACATAGCTGAAACCAAATTTTCTATTTTAACATTCTTGTTTCTTCATACATAAACATTTTTCAGAAACCATAGTATTATTCACCAACCTTGCAAAATTGGGCCATTAGTAGTGAGTGTAAACTTCAGGCCGTTCGAACCTATATCAGCTTGCAGAAGTTGCTTGACATCAATGGGCTCCGGAGCATAAACACGTTTGTTTGCACCTGAAAAATATTTTATTTAGGAAATAAAGGATGGAAAGAATAATTACACGACATAGGACACTGATAATGAAGTATTATATCGTCATAAGTTGTAGTATAAATTATACATATTGAACAAAATGAGAATTTCATACCTAAAGTGGGCTCCCTAAGGCTGCATTGAGATGACAATCGGTACCATTGGATTGAACATTTCCCGAGCGCTGCTGCTTCATCCAAACAGGTCTGAATACGTAAAATGGAACCTAAATTCTCAGCCTAGTTTAACGCATAAGGTCGGGATACATTTTCCTCAGCTTGCACACTCATTGCCAGCTGTAAAACGAATACAACTTATTCTAAGTCGTACACTAAACTGCAGGGAAGAAAAATCCGGGTATGACCAAACAGAAAATGGTAAAAGCAACAGCTAAAATACAAATAAAGTGACTTCAGATGTACCCTGGGACTACAGTATTTGAATTTTATTTTTTAAAATAGCTGACACCGTTTTGAAGGTGAAGTGAATTTGTACACTTTGCGACCTACAAAATGAATAGAAACACAAATAAACGTAAAATTACAAACACAACGAAGCTGAAAATGTCTACTTGAACAGCAGAGACTGCTAATGTACCAAAAACAACAGTATGAATCTCAATGCACCTTCCGAGGTTGGTACATCAATTTGATTCTTCTGGCCTCTTGAACCTCCTCAATTAGCCCCTCCAGTTCTTATACCATGAAAACAGTGACTTTATATTAACATTAGACAGTAAAGGAGATGCAACCGAAAAGGGGAGAAACAAATAGAACAACAAACAAGCAAAATTGAAAAAAAAAAAAAAAATGCACCCCACTTGAGAAAACTGCTACCTTCTGCAAATTCATCACAAGAGAAAACTGATACAAACGGACTCATATACATTTCAGGGTTAATTTACAGAAGCCACCCCTCACATTTTAGCCATACAAGGGAAAACTATCTTGTAAGATTTCCTATTACCCCTTTAAGTTTTACAAGAAGCTTTATCAAGATCTGTATTTAGATAACAAATGCACCCTGCTTGAGGGCTTAAAATGTATAACAACAGAATAACTGTTGTTATATGTAATTTTGAAGCATAACTTGATTCATTAATGACATGAATGGTAGGAAGGAATGACATGGGAATGGAATGATCATTCTCTTACTCATTCCTTATCCATGATTGGTATATTTTTTGGGAAAGAATGACCATTCCCATTGGAATGGCAAAACCCATCTCCATGGGATTAGCCATTACATAGTAAATGAAAGATTTTCTCATATTCCCATGTGTATAGGAATCAATTTTTCAAAAAATAAATTAACAAATAATAAAAAATAAATACATAATATATATTATAAATCATAATTAAAATATATTAAATAAAAGTACTTTAAAAAAAATTGAAAACTTACTTTTATTTATTTTTTAATTTGATATATTAAATACTTATATAAAAATAAAACTAAAAAAAGAATTTATATATAATTTAAAAATATATTATTTTATTTCTATATATTATTAAGAATATATTATGTTTATATATTAAAAATATATTACTTGTAAGAATATATTATTTTTTATATATAATTTAAAATTATATTATTTTATTTTTATATATTATTAAAAATATATTATTTTTATATTATTAAACAATATATTATTCTATTTTTATATATTATTAAAAATATATTATTTTATTTTTATATATTATTAAAAAAGCATTTATATATAATTTATTAAAAGTGTTATAATATGTACGTGCATGCACCACGAGGAGATTAAATATATATATGTGAATGACTATTTTGTCCCTGATGTAATTGTATTATTATGATTGTGCCATCAGAAGTTTTCCTATAAATAGGAGCTTCAGTTATAATGAAAATCACACCTACGAGAATACAATTTCTTTATTCTCTCTCTTTTCCTTCTAAGTTTTATAACACGTTATCAGCACGAGCGCTCTACCTGGTCAGAAAGGTATGAATATACTAAATATGACACTATTCTTGACAAGTTAGGCTCTGCCACAGTCAAGGATATGCAGTATGAATATACTAAAAATGATATTACCATTATTATTGACAAGTCAGGCTATGCCATAGTCAATAATATGTGGTAAGATGATATTATTAAATTTGTTTATGAATTACTACTAATGATGAAAAGTAACTTCAAGTTATATAAATACTTAACACCCACAAAATGGTTTACCCAGTAATGTGGCGTGAAATTTATAACTACTTATTCTTGTACCCACCAAAAGATTTATCGAGTAGTGTGGAGTGATATTTTTATTTGTTTTGCTACTTATATTCATTAAATTGTTCACATAATGACTTGAAGAATTTTTAAGGTAATATACATGATTAATTAGAACTTTATAATCATGAATGATTAACTAACAAATATTATATCATTAGTTTGTTTCCAACGGCTACTTAACGGCTATATTGCAACAGCTTTTTTTTTATCAATCTATATATAACACTACATTTCATATGTTAACACTCATTCCAAATACTAATATATATATTCTCCTCAAACGAAAAGAAAAAAAAAAATGTTCCATCTACTATTTATAATTACCATTATATTGTTTATTATATACGCTTTGGGAATTTTCACAATGATGTATCATACTCCTGAATTTATATTTTATGTATTAGGTCTTTGTATAATGAGTTTATTATTTGCTCTTCTGTACGTTTTGGATAATTAATAATTGTATATGTAATTTTTTTTCGAATCTAAGCATTGATGCTTTATTTTATAGTTATCATGGCAAATCTGGTCAAACTCGAATTTGAAGCTCTTGATATATCTGGAAAAAATTATATTTCATGGACATTGGATGCTGAGATTCATTTGGATGCAAGGGGGTTGGGAGAAACAATAATCTCCCCAAATAATTCTTCAATACAAGATAAAGCTAAAGCAATGATATTTCTGAGACATCATTTGAATGAGGCATTGAAAAATGAATATTTAACTGTGAAAGATCCTGCAGATCTCTGGAAAGCCTTGAAAGAAAGGTATGATCACCAGAAAACGGTGATTCTCTCACGGGCTCGTTATGATTAGATGCACTTACGCTTCCAAGATTTCAAAACTGTAAACGAGTACAATTCAGCAATGTTCCGCATTTGCTCCGTATTGAAATTATGCGGAGAAAACATAACTGATTACGATATGCTGGAAAAAACGTTGTCCACATTCCACGCTTCAAATGTACTTTTGCAGCAACAATATAGAACAAAAGGCTTTGTGAAATATTCTGAATTAATTTCTTGCTTGTTGCTAGCTGAACAAAATAATGAGCTGTTGATGAAAAACCATGAATCTAGACCTACGGGATCTACTGCGGTCCCTGAAATAAATACTGTAATATCTAGACAGGGAACTGAAAATATAAACAGCCAAAATCATGTGCGTGGATATACCTCAGGGCGTGGCCGTGGTCGTGGACGTGGCCGTGGATATGGTCCGGATCGCCAAACCGGCCGAGGCCTCAAATTTCACCGAGGGTATAACTCGGGCCGAGGATACAATCGTGGACGAGGCCGCAACTATGTCCAAAATTATGAAAGGGGGAGAAATTTCCAGCCAAAATTTGAACAGAACAATGTGACGGAGAATAATAATGAAAATGCATGTTATCGATGTGGAAGGAAGGGACATTGGACACGAAATTGTCGTGCTCCGAGACTCGTTGTTGATAATTATAACGATTCTCAGAAATCAAAAGATAAAAATATAGAAACCAATTTTATGGTTGGGGAATCTTCTGAAAATGATGCAACACGTGTGGATGATGACTATGGCATCGATGACATATTGAAACTGGATTTTGCCGATGGAGTGTTTGAAGACAGAGATGGAAATGACCAAGAGAATAATTGATGATCATGTTTTTTTTACTACTTTCTAAGTTTTGTTGTATTTGTGTGTGGAGTACTTTTATCTGTATTTCAAATTTAATCAATAATAAATGTTGTTTTCTTTTAGATCATGGATCAGTCTCGAATCCAAAATGGAGATATATGTATTGCAGATTGTGCCACTACTCATACTATACTCAAGGACAGAAAATATTTCGTCAACTTGATATTAAATAAAGCAACAGTAAACACCATATCCGGAAGTGCAAAGATAATTGAAGGTTCTGGCAAGGCCATATTTTTTATGATGGGAGGTACAAAATTTACAGTGAATGATGCATTATTCTCCCCTAAATCAACAAGAAACTTGTTGAGTTTTAAATATCTCCGAATGAACGGATACCATGTGGAAACAATGAATAAAGTGGGAGTTGAATATCTTTGCATTACCTCAAATAATAAATGTGTTTTGGAGAGGTTACCCGCTCTATCCTCTGGTTTATATTACACCCAGATCAATATGATCGAGGCTTATGCTGCAACATATTCAAAGATGAATGAAATGTTTAAACTTTGGCATGATCGACTTGGTCATCCTGGCTCGATAATGATACGAAGAATTATTGAAAATTCTAGTGGGCATCCATTAAAAAATCAGAGGATATTACAAACGCATGAATTGAAATGTGCCTCATGTTCTCAAGGAAAATTGATAATGAGACCATCACATACTAAAGTCGGACATGAATCACCATTATTTTTTGAAAGGATTCATGGGGATATATGTGGACCTATTCATTCATCCACCTTGTGGTTCATTCAGATATTTTATGGTGTTAATTGATGCCTCTAGTAGATGGTCTCACGTGAGTTTATTATCCACTAGAAATGTGGCATTTGCTAAATTTCTTGCCCAACTTATTAAACTAAGGGCCCAATTCCCAGATTATATTATCAAAAGGGTCAGACTTGACAATGCTGGAGAGTTTACATCTCAAACATTTAATGATTATTGTATGGAAATGGGAATTGATGTTGAACATCCTGTGGCACATGTTCACACTCAAAATGGTATAGCAGAATCATTGATTAAACGACTGCAGTTTATAGCTAGACCATTGATAATGAGGACAAAACTCCCCACTTCAGTATGAGGACATGCTATTCTGCATGCAGCTGATCTAAGTCGAATAAGACCAAGTGCACAACACACATACTCGCCATTACAGTTGGCATATGGTCGAGAACCAAATATTACGCATATAAGAGTTTTTGGTTGTGCAGTGTATGTACCAATTGCTCCGCCCCAACGTACAAAAATGGGGCCTCAAAGAAGGTTGGGAATATATGTTGGATATGATTCTCCATCAATAATCAAATACCTTGAGCCAAAAACAGGTGATGTTTTTACAGCTCGATTTGA